ATAAGCAGGACAAGTTCTTCTCAGAACTAATATCTTCTAAGCAGTAGTTATTACCACATGGTGTTACCGCAAACCGAAACGATACCGATACCCCACCATGCAAAGCCTCAAATCTTATAACAAACAAAAATACGGACAATGGAAACGTTACTACTCAGGTTATGATATGAAAAGGTGTTAGGGAAGTGTTTTGTGAAGACATAAAAGACAAAATATTTTGTTTTATCTTGTCGGAAGCATCAGCAATTGGGGTTGTGGTCCGGTGTAAAAAAAAAAAATGGGTTGGCTGGGTTACTGCAAGCAGAAGTAATATATAAATGTATGGCATTACTGCTTGGCATATAGTATACATGTACAAGCTACTTTTATGGGGGTTTTTTGGCAACAACTTGAAACATAAGTTTGAGAATGCACTTTTGTTATTAAAAAATTTCCACATTTTTAATTCATTGTATTTCACCTCCGAATATTCTTATTCGAAAATAAATATTTGATAATCGATCGAATATTCGAATATTCGGCACAGCCCTAGATGAAAATATGGAAAACATAAATGTATGTATTAATAACAACTAACTTCAAGATTGATGACATCACAGCATTAGGGAACAAGGTCAACATATTAACAGATATCATTATATGGGCTACAAACATAGTCATAAGACAGGGATCAAAGCAAACTCTATTTGACGTGCAGCTAGAGGGCGCCCTTTTGGATGACGTCATCATGCTGTTGTTGTTTTGTGTCTGGCATTCCTCACTAGTTTCCAAAATTCATTAGTCTGTAGTAAAGTGCTTCTGCCTACGAGTTATATCTTAAGAAATACAATTGATCAAGGCACCATCTACAACCACAAGAAAAACAAACATGACACTCTACTTAGTTCAAAAGATACTGGTATAGCTCAAAGCTAACTATTTTGTCAAATTTGGCCTTAAATCACTTGTAATTTGATACCTGATGACTCAGAATTTTGTTTTTACATCTTCGGACGGGGGTTTGTAGTGATTGGACCAATAGCATGTTGAATATTCATGTTGAATAATAAACCAGCCAAGCATGTCAATCACAGGCGGTTCCCCACACGCTGCCTGCGATACGGCAGTCTTGTATGCAGTGTGAAACCGCAAGTCGTGTCCCTCTCTGATGTGTGGCTGACCCTGCGCTGCTAGAGCTCAAGACTCCCAAAGTACTGCTGTACTACAGGTTAAAGTTCATACCAGGCTTAATCAAAATCCAGTAAATCGTTTGGAAGAAAGTTGGTTCATTTTGATTTTGAGGCTTCTGTCTGTATTTCAAATTCACCTAGGAAGTAAGGGTCAAGCCAGCTCACGTACATGACAAAAAATGTTTATCAATGGGTGCTCTAAGTGGGAACATGATTGATCATTTTGTTTATAAGTGAAAGAAATTGGTCAATTTTTAAACGAAAATCGCTTGTATTAATTTGACAAAGAAAGAAACAAAGAAACAAAGATTTATTAGAACGATTTCAAACAGTGGTTGGTTGTGCCTGACCACTCAATTAAAAAAACAGATGGGAAAAGCAATATATTATAAATCAAGTAAATCCTATGGGTTGGCCATTTGTGCGAGGGGAGGTACATGTACCTTCAGAGGGTGGAATCCTGGACTTATGTTTGCCAGTGGAACAGTCCGGAAGTTGCAAGAGAGTTCTTATCATGACTGGAATATCTTGATTGGCGACCTCTGAGACCGGGAGCTTGGTGTTAAGGATGGTAGGGAAGTAGACTGGATCAGTGGAGCGATCGGGCTGACCAGTTGAAGTACCATAGCGGGAACGGCACCATTATGCTGGGCCAAGCCAAGGAGGGCCAAGTCAGCGGTCAGTCCGGCAGCCATGGTGGAAAGGGACCGTGCCCAGTGCTGACAGCAACGGGCAAGGCACAGCCAAGTCAGCGGCCCCAATATTTTGTAAAGACTGCCTTTTTCCATTCAAATGCCCTTTTTTTTCAACGGGCTTACCCCCCCCCCCCCCAAATAATTTGTAAAGAGTGCCTTTTTTTTTTAAGAAGTGCCTTCTTTTCTGAACAAGTGCCCTTTTAAAACAAGAAGTGGTGCCCTTTTTTGTGGCATCTGCCGTTTTGGGTGCCTTTTCCAGAATTTCACACATGTATCGCCCTGAAAAGCACCATAAGCATCAAAGCCCTTTGTGTGCAGAAAAAAACCTGTCTACATTTCACAACGGTTACCAAGTGCCCTTTTCAAAAATGTTTACCCCCCCCCCCAATAAAAATGATAGTTCTACGCCCCTGTAATATAACAGATAATGGTACCCTTTGGGAAAAATTCCTATAGACTTCAACAAAACTTTGTTCCAACTTTCCTGACCCCTAACCAGGGTTGGCTGATTTGAATCACATTGATTTATCATTGATGTAAATCACGATTTAAATCAAATATTGAAATCACTTTTTTGTAAAATGTGAATTTTGGCAAAATAAATTCATTGAGGGTCATTTTTATCATTTAAATCAACTGATTCCACCTAATTACAAAGTGTAAGATGTTGTTAACACATTTAAACACCCCGTACGTACCGTTACTTCATCAGCATCGACTCAACTTACCATGCTTATGGTTAGGTTTTGCATAATTCTGCAAAATCATTGTTTTGATTTCTTGACTTTAAACAAAACAATAAACTTTGAACAAAACCCGAGTTTAAAGGTTTTGTTCGAAGTTTGAGTTTTAAAGACAGCATAATAATCATTCCTTGATCTGTTTACAGCAATAAAGTGAACAACTGTGCTGGTGTACGCATACCTGAACCATCTAAGGTATATATTACAGTCCCAATTGATCCATCTTATTCCTAATGTTTCTCCATACAAATTTACATTGAGATTTATATAATATCTTTTAAAGATCTATGCAAGGCCTGATTTCTATATTCAACCTTGTATGAAGGACCATCAATCAATAAATAATAAATTACAATCAGTGCTACCTGTTATTAGCAGCATTTTAATGAAATATACATGCCCATGGAGAACTGTACTTTTTTTTGTATGTCAATTCAATTGTCAAACCATACATGTAAATCACATTTTCCATTCATACCCACACACAATGAACATGTATCTCAGCTGTATGCTATGCACCTTTAAAGAGTCTTCAGTATTAATGTACCATTGAACCAATGAGGTACACTACATGTGTACATGTAGATGAAATCGTGCGATTTTTTTATCACTGATTCCATACATTTTTTCCAATTTTTTTTATCAATTTATGGAGTTTTGTGGGTGATGGGTATTATTGGAACCTGTAAACTCCTTTGTGATGGGTGTAAGTTTGCATTTGGAGATTTAGACACATTTGATCAATGTTTTGAAAGTTAAAAAAAATCAAATAAATCCGATTTAAATAAAAATTACAAAATTACGAGTACGTGAAGAGTACTTTTTTTTTCGAGTACTTATGATCGAGTATGGGCCAAGTACTTATTGGTACTCGAGTTGTACTCGAGTTCGAGTTCGAGTACTCTAACACTGCCACACAGTAGATGGTACACAAACTTCAACAATTTTGTCAGCGAGTTCCCGCAAATTGCTCAATGGGCATTGTTTGAGATGTAAATGCTAGGATATGTTGAGCGTTTGTCAGCAATCACTGAAAAAATGTTTTAAACAAACTTCTAAGGCCTACATGTTTATCTACAGAACTAATGGTCCGATTTGGATGTACATTGTAACTTGGTACCAGTATGTTCATGTGGTATAGATAAAAATTTAACTGATATCATGATGACGTCATCATGTGTGCACATTAACCAGTTCACGCCAGAGGATGTGTATACAAACACAAACGTTTTTTTCGAAAGTCAGATCAGATGAGTGAAAAACCCGCAACGAGCAAGCCGGAAAACCACAGCCAGAGACTGAGGCAGGAAATATGATGCAACCAGACATCCAAGGGTGATGGCTTTTGTCATGGATGATGCTCGAATATTTTCCTTAATTTCTTTCTGTATATAACCCCTTCCCTATAAACCTGTATATATAGTTTGTCTTTTTTTATGCCTATTCAACACAGGTAAAGAACAATACCTACATGCACATGAGTTTAACTATAGCCAGCAAGCTGAAGAAATCAGTCAACCATGAAAATGAAGATTCAATTTTCATCCACAAACAATTCAAATCCCTGATTTAGTTAAATTTGCCACTCTCCAAGCCTCTTAGTTAGACTTCCTCGAGGTTCTGAAGAGACCAAGTACCAAGTACCAAGTACCCAAGAATATGTATGTTTGAATTTAAATAAAGCTGTGGAAAATCTTGTCATTTATTGTGTTTATTGTCCGAGTCTAGTTTGATTAACAATTGTGCCGTAGTCATGTGATATAAGAAATGAGTATCCCCACGAAACAGAAATCCAGATATTGTCGATCGCTAGCAACATGAAATTTTGTGCTGCGTAAAGCAAAATTTGTGAGACCAGGATCGGTCGTGAGACATCAGAGATCCAGGCTATCAAGACCCCATCTGACTGTAAGTATAGTCATTTGTGTGTATATATTCTGATTTACGATGAATTAAAGATTATTTTGAGTTTGCATTAATTACCTGGATTTGATCGAAGTATAGTCTGGTGACTTTTAATTCTCTACTTTTGAATATGGATGAGTGGATGAATTAATTATAATTATCCACGTTAGTGGAAATTATCATTTGATTAAGATTTTAGAGAGCCAGAGTAATTATTGACACATTGGAATCCTTTTAAGAAATATGAAGTTTTATGATTTGTTTATTGGTTTACCAATTATGATAGGAATTGGAAGATGTGTGTGCACTGGTTTATTAGAGATAACCAAAGATAATCGATGATGCCATCCACTTTAAAAAAAAAATTAATAAAATAAAAAATAAACAAAAAATAAAGCTAAAAAGAATGTTGCTATCCACTTTTTGGATTATGAAAAAGCTTGTACACGTACTATAGATGTCTTGAAAATACAGATACCAGTACTTACCACAAATCTAAATTCAGACTTTGGTTGTTGTTTGTGCATGCCAGGTTGAATTCTAATTCCTTGAGTGTGCCCAAAGGTCAATGTGTCACCCTCTGTAAGTCTCACCTTGCCAACAATCTGTTATTTGAATAAAAAGTCTTTGCTTTACAATCATTTCAGTGATAAGTGACATATGAAACTGAATAAAAACACTTGTGAGGGACCCAGCATGACCATGAATACAACTATGGGCATCGCCAGGACAAAGGGGGACAAAGCACATTTTCTCCCCAAAATCCCTGTACTTTTCCAGCACATCCTCAATTTATCATTTTAAGAGGGTGGGCAGGGACATTCCCCCCCCCCCCCAACACTGCTGTTCAAGAGGCTCACAGCGCGACATTAGGTTCATGGGTATTCACCGGTTTTTCCAGGCTGTGCCATAAAATGAATATCATGAGCTCGTTCATAAAAATAAATCGCTGAGAACGGCCTTCCAAAAACTGCTGACGCACGCAATATTTAGTGAGGCCATAAGATTTGCCCCATAGTTGGTTAAGAAATAAATAACTTTAGCATCTTCATCGAAGAGTTTAAATGCAATGTCGTTATTTTCACAAAATAAGAAAAAACTAAGGCCTCTTGTGCTGAACGAAAGCCAGCCTGTTCTTTCAATAAAATTAATGAAAAACTACTTTGTCTTTCCTAAAATGAAGGAATTCCCCTAGATTTTCATGAGCAGTTGTGCCGATAGATCGCATTTTTATAAGCAATACATGTACAGCCATATGGTTGCGAAGGGCGATTTCTAAAGGTTATGTAACACTTTACTTTGAATGAAACTACATGTACACAGACATGTTTACATTGGTGGTTGAAATCTTTGAAAATAAATTTCTCCCGTTTGGAAGAACGTATCTTCATGCAACTTTCAGGATTTATTTTCCCTACATGTATAAAGCCCGATTCATACTCCACGCGAATGCGAAGCGAATTTGACGTCATGAAACGTTTGCTGTGAAATTCGCCTGAGTTGAAATGTGCTCAACTTTCACCAATTCGCAGCACGAATACTTGACACGACGTCACAAATTCGCGTTCACTTTTGTGCCGAGTATGAACCTAGCTTAATGATCCAAGTATGTGCTAAAAGTCGTTGTGATGTGTTCATTACTTTCTTTGAAATTGGAAATTGTAACACTGGCGTGCACAACATCTATCAATCTTTTCAAGCCTCACGAATATTAATGAGGTTCCTACCATCTCGGTGTGCAGTAAACAATTGCATAAAAGCCTCCTTCACAAGTTGTTAATTAACACATGTATATCACCCTTTCTGAAGGCTTCCATTGGTTGATACCGAGACCCACGCCATGTCACGCTGAGTGAAGCTAATGAATATGCTAATATGCCCTTAATTATTGTGTGCCGGGCCGAAATCGGTCAGCCGTAGCACCTACAACGCTTTGCTGAAGAATGCACATGGGTTGGGTAGGCAAACAGTTATTTTGATCGTCTTCGAAATTGTCCTGAGAGATGGTTGAAAGTGTAACACTAGCGTCCGAAACAACAGATAAAGCTGAAATTCGGAATATACTTAGATGATTTAAGTGTTCAACTACTCGTGAAATAACGACTTGGGTAAATTCCTAGAAATTGGGATAAATAAATACATATGGGGAACTTTTCTAACGATTTCTTCCAGACTTGAAGGTCAGCTTTGACAGTAACCAGTATTGACGTTTCGTCATTGATAACAGTGATTTTTTCACTAACATGAAGTTTAAAAATTTCTTCTTCAGTTAGAATGTAACATTTTAATCATATCGAGCAAATTTTTCTGCGAAACACAACGTTTGAAGGCCATGTTTTGGGAGGTTCACGAATTTCAATGCTCTGTTACAACGTCTTAGTACGTAATCGGATTAGCTTTCCTTGACAATGACCAACACTTTGCCGTAGCAACCCTATGGCTGTGTACATGTACATTATTGGTCATGCACATATGTAAACAACCAGTACATTTATGGATTTTGTACACCTGTTAATTTGTTTGGGCACTTAAGAGTGCATTATGTTAAGATGAAACCACTACAGAGGAAATCAACACTTTTTTAGAAAATAAAACGCAGAATCTCCAACATTTGTATATTGTATTTCATTTAATAATCACAGCATTTAAATTATTAAAAAAATTAACACAAATAATATGTGAATGAAATTCAAATTATAGTTCATGATTGCCCATCTCTCTGACATTCTTGCAATCCATACATCAGATTGTAGTATTCAGAAGTCCTTTCAATGACATGAACAATTACCACTTTTAAAAAAAAATTGTTTATTAAAATAATTTTTATTAAATCCACTCATCCATTTTAAATTTGCCAGCATGTTCAGCTAAATAGACGCTAGGTTCAGCAGGCAGGATTTGGGGTTGGGGGGTTGGGGAGTTGGAGATGGTAGTGGTGGGGCAGAGGAGAAACGTTGTTTGGTTTTGTTTTTTCAAAGACGATTTAAATCAGATTTTTTAAATTTAAAACATGATTTAAATCAGCCAACCCTGGTTTCCTTTACCTTCGATTTGTTTTAATTTATTTTTAAATTTTCTTAGAAGGGGGTGGGGAGGCGAGCAAAAAACCCAAACTTACGGGGGGGGGGGGGGGCTATTATTATTATTGTTATTTCTATTAGGCCATGTGTGTTCAGCGAGTACCACTCGACAAACCAAGCACTGAGGTCAACAGACAGACACTTCAGAGTCTCACCAAACTCCTAAAGGGTCATTTGTCAGACATTAGTGCCCAGACATCTGATGTTCAAGTACAACATATGCTGAAAACAGCCTCAAAGAAGACACTTCAAGATCTACTTGGGAAGCTCAACATGAGAACAGACATCACCCCTTTCTTAGAAAAAGGGCAGGTTGGCAAACTTCCACTTCCACAATAACCCTTTTGTAAAACTGCTTGATGATGTGCTGCAAGACATCAAAGTAATGCGGCAGGCCTACTTTTCAAACACTTTCATAGGCAATCATGTCCACAAGTGCCTCAAGGTAAGAAGGGGATATCCTCATTTTATGCACTTTTCTTTACAACAGAAAATGCCAAGTTGGCAAACTGACTTCTTTTGTTAAGTTTTCTTTGTTAAAGCCTAAACCGTTACATTTTGAATTCATTTGGTAAAACAGGATTCAAACACTGAGAAAATAACGTCAGCATTGAGTGATGGGAGTATCCAAGACTTGTCCTTGCTGATAGTATTGCACTGTGTTCAAGTTGTTCTCCATTTGCCACAGCATGTACAACAAAATGGAGTCCCTTGATGACTCTGCCATCACAAAACTCAGTAAGTCATTGTATGACTGTGCTTTTTATAATATTTATGATTAAGTTAAGCCTAAATTTCATGTGGTTGGCATTTATGTCATTGTTTACCTTCTGCCTTCTTATTTGCATCTATCAGGTGAGAAAATTCAGCAATTCCTGACTTTCTACCGGAGTGAATTTTCCAATGGTACATTCCCTCCCAAGATGCACATCTTGGAGGAGCATGTGATCCCCTTCATAGAGCAGATGAGGCATGGACTAGGGCTGATGGACCAGCAGGGAGGCGAGTCATTGCACGCTGCCTTCAATACTTTGAATCGGCGCTTCAATGGGGCAAAAAGCAGAAACCGTGATCAAGACTTGTATAAACTCAAGTTTCATGAGGGAGCACCACCTGAATGCGAGTCCTGCAATCACCAGCATCTGTCAGCAAACTGTCAAATCACAGAAAAAGAGAACAATCAGTCACTTAATCAGATGTTAAAATTCAGCCAATCTGTTACGAATAATCATTTCCTCTGTAAAACTGTAGGCTTCAACTGTCAAATTAAAAAAAAATCCTTTACATCAAAAAAAAATATTTCTTAATTAATAATGATGTGTAAAGAATGGGCAATTGAAAAAAGATCTGCATTTATTAAAGTTTGACATGTACACATACATGTATTTGTCAAAATCATTTGATATTATTTTAAAAAACCAAGAATTAAATATATTATATGAACTAATTTTTATATATGCGAAACCTAAATTATTATAATCATCATGCAAGGAAGACAATAAAAGAAGGTTCATGTTAGGCAAAAAAAAAAAATAGTCGGTCTCTGGTCAGCGCGCGCGTCGATTTTAATCATGCACGTCGATCTTTTTTTTTTCCAAAATGTTCCGCGGTAGCTCCAACAGCGCCCTCTATTTCTGCACCTCCTCAATTTGTTTTACCAAAGAGCACCAAGGAGAGGGAAATTGCACCAAGGAAAATGATCGAAAGCACCAAGGCAAATTATGGAGGACACCAATGTACATGAGGACACCAAAAAAGCAAAATAGTACCCCACCTTGTCTGTACAATCCAAGCTTGAAGAAGAAAAAAAAAAAGCAAAAAAAAAAAAGAAAAGCCGCGTCGCCACGTCAATTCCGGAACTTTGGTCTGACCTGATTCTTTTGGGGGGGGCCTTAGGCCAAAAAAAAAGTCTCTGGTTTCTGGTATGGAGCTTGCCCAAAAAGTGGTGCGGCGATGCGGCTTTTCTTTTTTTTTTACCTGATTGTTTTGCTTCAAATGTCGGCTGATGACTGCAAATGGTGCCCGACTAAACTTAGTGCAAATATATGGGAGTCCAGAGAGGTCACGTAAAGCTTATTCTCGACCACAACCCAATCTAAAAACACGTTAAAATTGTGCAGCAGCAGGATTCCAGTCAAACCCGTGAGTTTGGCGGTTTTGAGACATCATCTTTCATTGAAAAAAAAACTTTTTCATTTTGCCGACGCGCATGGTTACGGCGAGGCGCGCGCATACCAGAAACCGGAGACTTTTTTTTTTTGGCCTTAATGCCAACTTTATCTGATAGTTTCCCTGATGGTTTGTTTACATACATGCATGTAGGTCATGCATTGGTCTACTTGTCCAATAGCCAGATATGTGGCACCATTGGGGTTTGCTCTCACACATCTGCTGCGATGATATTCTCCATTAACTAGGGTTTGTAAAGAAATTTGCTCAATTTGAAGTTTACTTACCCCGGTGACCAAAAATTCCAAGAGAATTGAGCATTAATTTCGTTCCGACTGAGTCACCAAGAAGCATCA